GTTAGTATCAACGACTTGTGGGGAAACTCATCTATTTATCCATAACTCGACCTAACATTGCTCATGTCGTGAGTCAATTCATGCACTCTCCTCATACCCCTCACCTTGATGCAGCTATTCAGATCCTTCGCTACTTAAAAGGGTGTCCGGGCAGTTGTATTTTGTTTGCCAATCATGGTCACTTACGTGTTAAGGCTTGGACAGATGATGATTATGTAGGATTAGTTTCACATAGGAGGTCAACTTTGGGCTATTGTACCACTATTGGTGGTAACTTGGTTGCTTGGCACAGTAAGAATCAAGATGTTGTCTCTCGATCTACTGCAAAGGCAGAGTATAGGGCTATGACTCTAGGGGTATGTGAGTTGCTATGGTTGAAAACCTCGATGACAGACTTGTGTCTTCCAGTCTCGCTTCCATTCTCACTCTACTATGACAACAAGTCTACCTTTAACATAGCAGCAAATCCCGTTCAGCATGATAGGACTAAGCATATAGAGGTGGACCGTTACTTAATTCAAAAGAAGATCATCTTTGGTCAAATTTGAACTCCATTTGTCACAAGCTCTCAGCAGCTTGCAGACATTCTTACAAAGGGCGTCATTAAGATTGTGTTTGAGAATGCATTTTCCAAGTAGGGCGTTTCAAATATCCACACACCAACTTGAGGGGGAGTGTTAGCAGATATGATAGCCACGATTTATGGAATGACTCACCGTATTAGCAAAGATTTGATTATGCTATAGAATATGCCATAAAGTATTATGTGATTTGATTTAGATTTGATTTAATTTCATTTCTTGTAATATGAGCATGTGCTCTTTTTATCTATAAATACCTTCTTTTCTTTTCTTTTTTATAAGTAAAAATATATTAGAAAGCGTTCAAGAGGGGAACGCGTCCCAAAAGTTGAACAAAAAACCGAAAAAAAGGGAAAGGAGAAGTCCTAAGGACCCAAAGACCCCAAAAAGTCCATGATCTCATCTAAAGATAAACAATCTCTCCCCATACCCCAACTAAAAAGAGAACAAATAATAGAAAACTTCAACGCCCCAATAGAGATTTCCTCCCCATCAAAAGATCTTCTACTTCGCTCTTTCCAAAGGCTCCACCAAACATAGAGGGGGTCACCCTTCAAAAATTGTGAACATGGGCTCCCACCCTTTGGCCCCTCCAAAAATCAATCAAGTCCCTTGAGGTTTGAGGCATAACCCACCGAACGCCAAAAAGACCCAAAATAAGGCTCCAGCAGTCATGAGCCACGGAACAAGGCAAGAAAAGGTGATCCACATACTCTCCATCATTCATACACAAACAACACCTGTTGACAATGACTTGTCTTCTCTTCCTCAAATTGTCCAGAGTCAAGATCTTACCCCAAGCAACAGTCCACACAAAAAAGGCCACCCTAAAAGGAGCCTTCGAATACCAAACCGTTTTCCATGGGAAAATGGTACCATGACACCCGGAAAGGCAGAAAAAGAAGAACCGGACATGAAAAGTCCCCTGCGAAGAAAGCACCTAAGTCAAGGAATCCGAACCAGTGTCATCCACCTCCTGTCTATACAAAAGGTCCAACAAGCCAGTGAAGTCATCCAACTCCCAATCCTGAAAGGATCGCCGGAACTACACATCCCAAAACAACCTACCGCTATCAAGACGATAGCAGTCAACAACCAAAGCATGTCTGTCAACAGCAATCCTGAACAACCTTAGGAACAAACAAGACAATGGGCGGTCCTCGTACCAAGAATCCTCCCAAAACCGAACGTCCCTTCCTTCCCGAACTTTGAATCTAATATGCTTAGAGAACCCATCTCAACCCTTCCCAATGGATTTCCACACCCCCACGCCTACAGCGGATCTGACCGGCCTAGCAGACCATCCCCCTCTCTCCTCCCCAAACCACATGAAACAACCTTCCTCCATAATCTATGTCTTTCACTGTCAAATCTTCATAACCACTTGCCTAGGAGTGCCCTGTTGAAAGGGGCCAATCTCCTAATCCCTAAACCTCCCAAGTTAAAGGGCTACAAACCTACTCCCACCGGACAAGATGAAATTTAAACCAATCTTAAAGGGGCCAATCTTCATAACCTCCCCCCGACCGCCCCATAGGAAGTTCCGTTGAAGCATCTCAAGTCTTCCAACAATAGAGGAGGGGATCTGGAAAAGCAAAAGAAAATAAGTTGGAAAGCTGGACAAAGTACTCTTCACCAAAGTAACTTTTCCTCCCTTCGAAAGATATTGCTTTTTTCCACCCAGCCAGCCTTCTCTTTTCAATGAGTGATTTATCTCATTCAAGCCTTTACACAATTGTCTCATTTCTCTTCTCTTTCTTCTATATTGTATTTCTACTATACCGCATATCATGATTAATAAAGATAAGGAAAAATATATACACCTATGATTTTGCAGTAAAAATTTGTTTCGGCCTGGGTCACGTAGCGATCTAGTTTCAACCCGAAAAATGAGTGGGGACCGGCACCACTAGGAAAAAAATTTAACCCGTTTTTTCTCTTGTGAGTCGTGGACCATGTTTAGTACTCTCTAGTAGCCTTGTATATAAAGGGGTTTAGGGTTTGGAGTGGGATAACAAGAAAAACATTGAAAATCGCAGAAAAGAGAGTGAGAGCTAGGGTTTGGGGGCTGAAACTTGTAATCTCCTATTTTTCACATATTAAAATCTTTAACCGGATTTTCACCCATGGAAGCAAGCACAACTTGTGTCGAACCACATAAATCAAAGTGTTCTTTGTGTGTGGTATGTTTACTTTTCTATCGTGATTCTTGTTTTGCTCTTGGTTTCCTGCGTTTGTCATAACAAATTGGTAGCAGAGCTTTCAATTCGAAGGTGGGATGGCAACCAAGTTTTTAGAAATTGAGAAGTTTAACAGTAAAAACGATTTCGACCTGTGGCGGGTTAGGATGCAGGCTATGTTAGTTCAATATGGGTCATCCAAAGCACTAAAAGGAAAGGGATGCAAGGTTATGGAGAAAGCACATGGTATGATTATGTTGTGTTTGAATACTGAGGTTTTACAATAAGTTTCTGGAGAGACTGTGCTCGATGGGTTATGGAACAAGTTGGAGCCTCGATATATAACGAAATCTCTTGTGAACTGCTTGTTTCTAAAGAAATGGTTACTCACTCTTTAGATGCATGAAGGTTCGTCCTTGAAAGACCATCTTGGTGAGGTAAACAGTATCATCATGGACTGAAATAATATGTTAAAATAGAGGATGGGGACAAGCTATAATTTTGTTGTGTTCTCTACCACCCTCATATAAGAACTTTGTCGATACGATGATGTAAAGTAGAAGTGTAGAACTATTTTGTCCATGGAAGATGTGAAGGCAGCTTTGAATTCAAAGGAATTCCGCAGGAAGGAGTTTAAGGGCAATACAGAAAGTTCAGGGGTTGGTTGTTAAAGGGAGGATGAATCCAAAGTGAGCAGAGGTCATTCTAAATCTAAGAACAAAACGAAGGTGCTAAAATGCTACGCCTGTCACACGGAAAGCCCCTTCAGGAAAGACTATCCAAAGCTTAAGAAGGGAAAGGGAAAATCCTCCTGTTGTAGAGGATAATGATTCAGATGGTGGTAACATTCTCACGATTTCTATCAGCGGCTCAGGCGATGAGTGGATTCTTGATTCTCGTATCACATTTGTCCAACAGGGAGCGGTTTACCTCTTATCATTCCATTGATGGAGGGGAAGTTATGATGGGGGACAATGTGTTGTGCAAGGCTATAGGTATCGGTACAGTTCAAATCAAGATGTATAATAGCAAAGGCAGGACATTAATGCCAAGCATGCACCAAAACTGAAGAAAACTTTGATTTCCCTAGGTACGCTGGATTCCATCATGTGTAGTTAAAGTGTCACGTTCAAGCAATGGAAGACCATGGTCCTTGGTGGAGAAGAAGACTGGAAGGCAGGTCAAGCACCTGGGCACAGATAGCGGCTTGGAATTCTCTGATGAAAAAATTAATGAGTTCTCGAAGGATTACGGGATTGTGAGACACTGCACAGTGAGGAAAACTCCGCAGTATAATGGAACTACAAAATGGATGAACTAAACACTACTAGAGAGAGTCCAATATATGTTGTCCAATGCTGGGTTAGGCAAAGTGTTCTAGGCTGAAGCTGTTAGCACAACTTGTTACTTGGTGAAAAGGTATGGTCTGGTTCTCATGCTAGTTAAAATTATCTTAGAATATTTGAATGTCCTACGTATACTCATGTCAATGAGGGGAAGCTTGAACTGACGGTTAAGAAATGTATATTTCTTGGTTATAAGCCAGGGGTCAAAGGTTACAAATTGTGGTGCCCAGATGCTTCGGGAAAGAAATTACTTGTTAGCAGGTATGTGACTTTTCATGAGTCTATGATGCTTACTCCGCAGAAGGAGGTAACTGATTCAGTAAGAGCTCAGGGTGTCAATGAAAAGGTGAAGCATGTAGAAGTTCTTGTTTTAGGATATTCCTGAATGGTTGAATGATGAGTAGGAGCGATTTCGGGCTAAGAAGGAAAGATGCACAATTGCAGCAGTACAATGTGGCTAGAGACAAGCTGAGGAGGGACTAGACAGCTGAGGAGGGACTAGGGAGGCTAGGCCACCTCAAAAGTATGGGTTTTTAAATGTTTATTAAGTTGCTTATGCACTTAGTGTGGCGGTAAGTATTAATGAGAAGGTACCGCATACTTATCATGAGGCCACCACAGGTGGAGAATCAGCACAGTTGTTTATTGCCATGAGTGAGGAGATTGAGTCTTTTCATAAGAACCAGACTTGGGAGCTAGTTGGGAAGCCCAAGGTCCAGAAGATTGTGGGCAATAATGGGTCTTTAAGAAGGAAGGAACCCCAGGATTGGAAGATACGAGGTTCAAGGCACGCTTGGTGGCATGATGAAGGGCTATACACAGAGGGAATGGGTGGACTTCAATGAATTTGTTTCTTATGTGGTGAAACACACCTCAGTAGGGTGTTACTTGCTATGGTTGCTCTGTATGACTTAGAGCTTGAGCAGCTTGATGTGAAGACTGCGTTCTTGCATGGCGAGTTAGAAGAACAAATTTATATGCATCAACCTGAGGGGTTTGGGATTAAATGTGTGTGTCAAGGTTCATTTAAAGAAGGGTTTACATTTTTATGGTTCACTTCTATCATGAATGTTTCTCTCTTTCTGATACCTTTCTAGCCCTCTTTATATTGTATTTTTGTTGCAATCCCTTATTGTGCAATATTTTATGGACGAATCATGGTTGAAAACAATTTTTAAAAGGATTTAAATTATACAAGAATTTTTTATAAATAACTAAAGAAGAAATTTTCCCAAAATTATAATTGATTGAGGAAGGTATAAGATTAATTGTGCTATCCCATAAAAGAAATGAGTTCTACACTGACGAAAAAAACAGTTCCATGTTATGTATTTTCTATTAGCCTTTCTGGATGTGATTGATATATACTCATACTACATTTTTTTCTTGAAATGAATTTAATATGTCAACTTCATTTATATGCATATGTTAACATTTCTACACTAATCACAACTACAGCAACATCTTCGTGGATGTGTTATATGAAAATTTGCAATTGCTTTTTCCATTTGTCCTAACAGATCACAATTTGGAACAGATACTCCACTTTGGAGACATGGACCACCTCATAAGCCAGTTTTGTGCAATGCATGTGGATCAAGGTGGAGGGTAAGCAAGACACTTGACAACTATATGCCCAAACATGCCAGTGCTTCTGAGGTTAGTGGTAGTAAAGACACCCAAAGCTATCAACAAGGCAAATTACCTCCTGAGGTAGAACCAGTAATCCCTATGAGAGCCCACAGTTGCAAAAAGCCACACCTTGAACCAAACATTGCAGGCTTTGACCACTGTTCAGCTGGCTTTGGAGAAGATACAAACAACAAATGTACCTCAGAATCGGTAATATCTCTGTCCGACAGCTGCATTCAGATGGGAAGTATAAATGGAAAGGATGACCCAGGTTATATAATAAAAGCATTTAAATGCTTTTGGTCTATTAAGTAAATATTAGATTGATAGCTTTTTCTATTTCTTTTAGATTTTATCACTAGCTTTTTCTTTTTTCATATTATTATTATTTTTATCTGAAACAAGAGCAATTACTGAATATGCTAGAGCTCAGTTGTTGAAATCTATTGGACGTCATGCTTATATAATTATGTACACAATACAAATATATCCACAGGAAACTATATCAGTCAATTGCATTTCATATAGCATTCATCATATGCAATTTCTTGTCCAAAACAAAGATTTTCAAGGAAGTTGAATCTAACAGAAGTTTAAAGAAATAACTCTGCACATCACATAATACACTTAACCAAAAATACAAGTTCATTATTTATTGATGGCCAGTGAGGACACAACAAGAAGGATAAATAGTTATAAAAATTTAGAAAATCTCTTCTTTTTTTATAAGTAAAAATTTAGAGAAGTTCCTAGAAGACTACACAAAAAGAATGAGTCAAAAATCTTCAAATTATATATCATATCATGCATTCAACTTTATATCATTTGATGAATATATTAAACTTGGACAAAGTTTTTGATTCAAGCCTTTGAATTGTTTGAAAGTCCATAAATAGAGATCTGATACGGCCTACATTAAAAAAGTGAATAACAATGTGTTAAGGCTATGTAACGACTTGGGAAAAGGGATCCCAAGTACCCCATCGAGATTGGCAGAACTGTTTGTTATTTATTAAATGTTGAGTTATTCTGGTATCATTTAAAATAAATAGATTGAAAGAGTCCATCCTTGGTTGATAAATGGCCAATTTCTCAAGAAATAATATTCCTCTATGTGGGAGGCCATAAAATGACTAATTCAATCCATATTGATGTATTAAAAGAAGTATATTAACATAAAGCACAAAAGTAAAGGGAAAAAATGATAATTTTCATAAGCACATTAAATTGTTTGTTGTTGAATTTCAAAAATAAAACTCTTATCTTTATTTCTTTGATTAAACAATTTTCCCACTCTATTCTTGACTAAGCCTCTCTTTTTAAGCATGAATCATAAAGTGTTATCAAATTCCCACATCTTGATTCCATGCTATCTCAACTTTCAGGGAGAAGTCTTAAATACAAGATATATAAGTCAAATCTCCAACAGAGTTAATCCATGGAACATGACCCATAGGCACGAATAATTGCCTGCTTACATCTGTGTTGGCCTGCTTATTCTGATTGCATATTCTTGACTAGCATGAGACCTCTCCCTTTTGGCTACTTAAGAGGAGGCTATGGTTCACCAAGGCATTTAGTGGTCAGATTGTACCTCGCACTGTCCAACAGTAATGCTCACTATTTCTTCAATATGATGAAAATTCAGTGTCAATTTCATAAACTCAGGGTTTGGAGGCTACAGCCTCATGGCGATGATATATCTAGGACAAGTGAAAGGTGCTTTCAAAAACTCCATTGAAGAGACTATGAATATATGAAGGTGAAAAATGACTTTAATAAATATAAAAATAAAAAACCTTTTTTAGGCACAAAGGATTATAAGATAATGCAATTGCACAGAAGGTAAAAGAGGCGAAAGAAATGGCTGGGTTAAAGCTTTTAAGGTAGCCAATAATCCAGATGCCGATCCATCAGTTGTATAAGGGCAATGTATCCTAGAAGAACGATCCCAGTTCTTTTCTTTTTTTGATAAGTAGAAGAACGATCCCAGTTGTTATCTGATTAAATTTGAAAATGTCCCTTGAATATCAGTAAGAATTCAAAGAGAGATTTCGAGGGGTAATGCTTGCACCACATCTACGCACCCTCGATGATAAAGTGAGCTACCAAACGAGATAAGAAACACATGGCACACTAGTGGCTGACACATTTAGTACTAGAGCCTACATGTTAGATAGAGACCTGAAGCCCTTGTTGTAACCCTGACTTTAGTCACAGATTAAGCCCTAGATGATTAAAGGCAAACAAGGAGAGGTAGGAATTGCACTTCCTAGCTACTAGTCTGTGGTATGTTACCTGAATTATCACTATCTATTGCTTGCATTCTGCTAAATACTCATAAATAGTGTTATGGTTACAAATATGCTTAAACTCCATGTTGCTCAACAAGATATTGTCTATTGACCTTTTTGGCCTATTGATTTCATTCTCTCTGTTGGGAGAACATCATGATAGGAGCGATATAAGCCTTGATAGAATGTTAAAGAAGTGATTTATGGGATTGATTTTAGGAATCCTCCATCAATATACTATCCATGTTTATCTCAAATAAAAAGTAACTATTTTCATGTCAAGTAAAATTGCATTTAATAATTAAAATTTTCCTTATGCCAGAAGACAAGGTAAACACTAAAAGTTTAAAACAATAATCAATCATTTCGTAGATCTTTGTGATTTTTTGTTCTCTACTATTTTATCCTGACTATTATGACACGTAATAGTTTGAGCAGTGGTGAGCACTAATGTCCACCGTCTCAATCCAATTATATCAAAACACAACTAGAAATATTTTTGAAGGGGTAAAATTCTCTCAAGCAGTCTTTTTGTGTCTGTATTGTGTATGTATATATGCATGTGTAAATTATCATTTTCTATAATCTTTTTTTTTTTTTTTTTTTTTCTTTCTTCTCTTTACTAGTCTATAAACCTTGACCAAGGGCTTGGAAATTAGGACCCAAAGCCACCAAGATAGAGGTAGACTTATTCTTTATAAGTAGATACGTATATATCCATACATCCATACCATGCAAACTGTTCATCACTAGATTCCTCTATTACTATTAACATCCTTCAAACATTCATCAATATACTTCATCCTTTCTCTATCAATCATTTAAAATCTGTTGCAATTCCTCATTTGTAACAATGATGATATTATTTGAACCATTCAATCATAATGCAAGCTATGATTGCTAACTTCAAAAATAAATAAATAAACAAACAAATAACAATTTTGTATATAAGTCAAACTTCATATTTGATTGTTCTATCTCATGATTTGCAGGTTCATTCCAGCCAGCATTTTGGAAACCTCACGTTCCAACTAGAAAGAAGTCAAAGCTTAAACAGCGTATACTATCACCCGTTGAAAGACTCCAGAGGCAACTTCGTAATATTCTACAAGAACCAGAATTCTCCATGATGTCTAAAGATGAAGACATACTCATTTATGATAGCAATAGAATGTTTTCTACCGAAACTGCCCTTGGAGCAATGCTACTGAAGTCACCGGCAGCTTCCTCCACGGAAAGAGGTACCAAAGCACACGCATGTCGCAAATCTGATGCTCCTGTGGAATCCTCATCTTCATAAGTGTGATCCTTTTTCTATGTATTTGCACATATCATGTTGTTGACGAGAATGCAAATATATAATCCAACCCAGAAAGAGCACCGGATAAATAACTCAGGGTGTTTTGGTCGTTTCGTATGAACTTTGTGAGTTTTCAGCAATAACTAAGTACTTAGGGTGTTTTAATCGTTTTGTATTTACTTTGTGAGTTTTCAGAAATAACTAAGTACTCAGGGTGTTTTAATTGTTTCGTATGAACTTTTCAGGGTTTTCTTCAATAACCAAGTACTTTATCTTTTTGTTTGTCTGCAAGTCTTGTATCCTTTATGATCATACAAGTTCAAGTGTAAGGGATTTCTATTTGAAGTTATTTACCATAACAGAATGCATGCATCAATTTGGATAAACAAGTCAGAAAGGGAAGGGAAAGATATTACTAATTAAGAGAAAAAAAAAAAAAAAAAAAAAAAAAGAATTCAAAATAAATTGGTAGTACCACATAATTATTTCTCTTGTTTGGATAACTGAGGAATAATCCCCTAATGTGTTTTGGAAAGATATTGAATAGAAAAATGGGGCAACAAACTATCTTATTATGTGAGTGGAAATGGGAAAAGTGGAACTCACTGGTTACAAGAAAGATGGACAAAATGGATACTTACTAATTCCCATACTTTTATCCTCTATTTCTTCTATTTTCAAATTGTATCACTCTAAGGGGTTGACCTAGGAAAATAAGCATGTGCTCATATGATCCACCGGTCGAAAAAATCTCTGCAAGTTTCATGTATTTTTATATGTGTTTGAACATATTGAGAAAGCTTCCAAACACGTGATGGGTCTAGTAAATGAAAATTTTGAGAAAGTAATAATTGGACAATTCAGGTGGTGGTGACGCTTTAAGGGTAATTAAGATGAAAGATCATTGAAGGTTTTTTTAAGAAGAAAAATATTCGGTCTTCTTATTTTTCAAGAGAGACAATTACAAGATAAATAGTAGAGGACGGCCACCAAATCAGGAAGCCCACAAAATCAGCAAATCAAATCAGCAAAACTCTAGGCTAGAAAACAGGAAACAGAAACTACTAAAATCTGAAATAATAGTTTCAGATTTTATTTTCAAAAATTGAATTTCCTAATTTATTTCCTAGAAATTTGACACCCCCCCTCAAGTTGGACCGTAGATATCTATCATGCCCAACTTGCTTATAAAGAGCTCAAAACTAGGTCTGAAAAGTCCTTTGGTGAAGATATCAGCTATTTGCTGAGTAGTAGGAACAAAAGGCATGCAAACAGCTCCACTATCAATCTTCTCTTTTATAAAGTGTCTGTCAATCTCCACATGCTTCATGCAATCATGTTGTACCGGATTTTGTGCAATACTTATGGCAGCTTTGTTGTCACAATACAACTTCATTGGCATGTTCATCGGCATCCGCAGCTCATCATGAATTCTCTTCAACCATAGTATCTCACAAACTCCGTTAGCCATTGCCCTAAATTCTGCCTCAGCACTGCTCCTTGCAACCACATTCTGTTTCTTGCTTCGCCATGTGACCAGATTTCCCCAGACATAAGTACAGTATCCTCACATGGATCTCCTGTCAATAACCGAGCTTGCCCAATCTGCATCAGTGTATGCCTCTATGTTCTGCTGTGTGGTCTTTTGGAAGAGTAAACCCTTGCCTGGTGTACTTTTCAAGTATCTGAGAATCCGATAAACTGCTTCAAGATGTTTCTTGTAGGGTGAATGCATAAACTGGCTTACCAAACTCACAGCAAAAGCAATATCGAGCCGTGTATGTGCCAGGTAAATTAACTTTCCCACCAACTTTTGATACCGAGTTGTATTCACTTGACCACCTTCCTTGTCATCTCCAAGTTTCTGATTGGGATCAATTGGAGTGTCTGCTGGCCTACAACCACTCATCCCAGTCTCCTTAAAGAGGTCAAGGACATACTTCCGTTGGGAGACAACAATCCCTTTCTTCGACCGAGCAACCTCCATTCCAAGGAAATACCTCAGAGATCCTAAGTCCTTGAT